CCAGAAATACATCTGTATACGTATGTATTACTCTTCGAAATATACGTACATTATAACAATTTTTTCAAATTAACCGGTGTAACCAGTAAGAATAAAGTACAGTAAAAGTAAATAATAATCCTTTTACAAAAAGTTTAAATAATCTGTGTATAAGAGGAAATTTGTATCAAAATCAATAATATTTGCATTATACATACAACATTTAAGAATAATGTGTTTATAATATTTTTTTCTTAATCTTAGAGGAATCTTTTTAAGGCCATATATAAGAATAAAATCCTCTAGATTAGATAATTCCGTTTGTTCTGAAATTACTTTTTTTTAGGTGCGTGTCTCTAGATCGTAGGATTGAGCAGAATTATTAGGAAATTTAGCCTAGAAATCACCAATAGAATCAAATGGGTCTGATGGTTCTCGCGACAAACGCCTTTGCGTGAATCAAGTTAGCTGGCTAGGCCGAACATCCTCGATAAAGGTGCGAGTGAATCAAACGTATGACAAATAAATCAGAGCGAATATCGAATTATATTCTCAGAAGCCTGAGTACTTTTCGTCGCCGCGAGCTGGAAGAATTCACGTCGAAAGACGAGAGCCGTCGATTCGGCCAGATTCGTCAGGATAACTCGCGTTTATCACACGTGCGCGCAAGGCAGCGACACAATGATAATAATACGGCGCGGCGGGGACGATCGCGAAACCTTGACGCGGCTCGTTGCCGCGCGGAGAAGACGGGCTGCCTTCGGCAGTCAACAGCCGTACATCTTCCTCTATATTAGACGGCCCCGACGACGTAGCGGACAACTACGTGCTGAAGAATGCTCGCGTCGAAGGCTCGCCACTCGGCGTGATGGACCGCGCACACTTGTCTATTTGCGGTAACCGTCCCTGAACGCGAGCGTTACGTCAGGAGGAGCGCGTGACGGCTTTCGGGCTTCGTAATGGTCCATACTCACCTCCCACGCGCCCGAGCGTGGCGATCCATCGAGAACATTCGATCGATATCGAGCACCTGCCTGGCATAACGCGTATTTATAGACGACCGATGGACGCCGTTTCCGCGTCGCAGCGCCGCTCGCTTCCGAGCGCGCTCGCGCTCGCGCCCGCGAGGAAACTCCTGAGACGCGAGAAGGAATTCGTCGAGTTCGGCTTCGCTCGTCGCATGCATTGTGACGAGTAAATCAATCCTCTCTCCCTCCCTCTCTCTCTCTCTCTCTCTCTCGCATGACACCGAGCCGTCGATCGAAGAGAGGCCGCGGTCGATTAAATCTCCGGTTCAAGTCGGTCTATCGAGTTAAGCGATTGAGAAACGCGTTTCTAATTAAACGTGTCGCTCGCGGCCGCTCGATGGGACGACGGCTCGCGCAAATGAATAATTGGATTAGTCGCGTGGCTGATAACGCGGGCCTCGTATCGCCGAGGCGATCGCGTGAGCGCGGCCCGGCACGCGATCGATCACGGCGGCGGCATTCGCAACGTACCGACATTTGATCACCGTTTTGTGCCTGGGTGGATAGAGATCTTCGTCCAGGATCATCGCGGACGGGCGCCTGGCGCGATGCTCGGCCGGCTGTGGGCGAATCGACACTATCGGCGAGCGAGCGAGCGAGCGAACGAGCGAGCGAGCGCGCGCGCTGCAGTAGCCGCGATGTCGCAAAAATTACTGCGTAAAATCGCCCGTAGGACCCCGCGAGCTCTCCTCACCTTTCCTGCGGCCCGATTGATTACTTGATCCCGACGGAGCCGCTGGTGGGAGGGATCGTTCGCGATCGCGATCTCGCGCGCGCGCGCGCGCGCCAGTGTCAAGGCCGCCTTGACGTAATGCACCGTAAAACTGCACTCCTCATCGCGCACCGTGGAAGCGTAGCAGCTGTCGAAGAGACTTGTCGGTTTCTCGCAGAACGCGCAACGTGCGACCGCGATCTGCATAATTAGCAACTCCGGCGGCGCGGCGATGATGCAATTCTGAGAGAAGGCGGCACAGAAGAAGGAGCGACGAGTTTCTCTTTCGGCCGAGCAAGAGATACGGTCTTTTGTTTTCTCATGATTTGATCCGAGTGAGATACGCCGCGCCTCGTCGTGCGTAGACGCGCGTGTCCGTCGAGTTCAATGAATTAACTCTTTGAGGCATAGTGGTAGGTAATACTTACCACCTATTTATTCTCACATTTTCATGAAATATTTCATATCTGAGGGATTCTTGTCGGGTTTATTGCGCTTTTTAGCTTCTTATATGATACGGAAACACACATGAAAGGTTGAAAAGTGTTTTGCATAAGTTGTCCATTTATTATAAATGGACAAAGTGTGAAAAATACACATTTTTACAGAAAAAATCCTTTTCCACGAACTATCAGTGAATTTTTTGCAAAAAAGAGTGAAATTTCTGAAAATCAAGATTTGCGGTTTTCTGGAGTCGCTGATTACGAATTTGAGGTCCAAATTCCAAAATTAATTTTCCAAGATGGCGGATCATAGAATTTTTATTCAATTAGCTAAAATTGTACTCTGCTTAGTTTTTGAGGTCGTTGATTACGAATCTGAGGTCCACATTCTAAAATTCACTTTCCAAGATGGCTGATTCCGGATGATGGCGGATCATAGAATGTATATAAAATTAGCTAAAATTGTACTCCGGTTAGTTTTGGAGCTCGCCGATTACGAATCTGAGGTCCAAATTCTAAAATTTGTTTTCCAAGATGGCGGATCATAAAATTTTATACGATTAGCTGAAATTGTACTTTGGTTAGCTTTCAAGGTCACTAATTACGAATCCGAGGTCCAAAACTCATTGTCACCGAAATTATCGCGATTTTTCATATTTGCGTTCGCCATCCTGGAGCCGCCATCTTGAATTTCGAAAATATGATAACGGATTCGTCATCAGCGACCCCAGAAACTCCCGTATATAAATTTTCATGTGATTCGGATTTTCTGAAAAATACATTCCTCAAAGGGTTAACGCGAGGCAGAGGCGAAAAAGGAGAGTCCCGCCGACGCGATTTACTTCTCTCTGTCTCTGTCTTTCTCTCCCGCGCACGCGTCTTTCCCATTGTGCTTTCAAACAAGCCGCTTTGCGACATGGCGGAGGAAGCGTTCAGTAAGCGCGACTTTGTGCGCGCCGCGGAAACCGCACTCGTGGTGCGCCCAACGAGACGCGTCCGGGCGGTAATTGCGTAACAGACAGCCGTGGCTTTTAATTCCGCGAGTGCGACACCGCGCACAAATGCATTATTTCAAATGCGCGGACTCGGCGAATGCCGTCATCACGCGACCGAGTTGAGCGCAGTTCGCACGCGCGCGATTCATCGCGCGTTCCCGATTCAGTCGATCCGTCAACGGCCTGCACGAGCGTGGAACCGTCGCCGCACGCGTGAGAAAAGAATGCCGCCCCCGACAAGAACGGCGGATCAAAGGGCGGCGTCAATCGGCGCGCGAGTCTCGCGCGCGAATCGATCGAGCGCGCGCAGCGTCGTGTCGGCTGATTCTCTCGCGGTCGTGCACGAGACCGACACTTTCGCCACGAGAAGAATTAACAGACGAGGTCCGGCCGGCCGCGTTCCGTATGCGCATGCAAATTTCCGACGCACACATACGCGCGCGCGCGCGCGCGCGCCCCGGGATTATCCCGTGGCTTCGTTCGCGCGCCCGACGGGCGGGAGGGGGCAGGGAGGCCCGTGAATGCAGTGACGGAATCTCTATAAATAGCAGATACGAGAGACACGACGAAATGCGCGAAACGGCGGAGTATCGATGCGGAGATCTCGATTGGCAAGCAAGCGGCGGCCGACTTTGCTCTCGCCGTTGCTTTTCGCGACGCTGAGGCGGCGCTTGCGATTTTCAGCAACGGCGACCACGCTATAAATTCATCATGTGTGTTGCTTGATAGAAGGCGATGTCTATGACATGATACAATTGCTATCTTCTGTATTTCACGCGCAAATGAGAACGCGTACGATCGATCGGCGAAAAGTGATCTCTCCCGGCTCAACCGTCGAGTCGATACTTGAAGCGTAAAGGACGGTCGAGGGACGTCCGCCTCCGATGTGCGCGAAAGACTTCTCTCATCGAGTGGAAGATTGTGTTTTAATAATTTTAAGGTGTATAAGTAGATACATGGCGCAGTTTATAAATCGCGAGTAACTTCAATGACTACGTTTACACGGTTTCTAACTTCGACTTAGTAACTACCGTAGTTAGCGCAATCTCGAATCCGATTAGAATATATTTTTAGATCTAACCAGAATATACCGAATCGTATCAAAGAATTCACTAACTACGGTTGTTACTAATCCGAATTGACCTTGCCGTGTAAACGTAGTTATTAATTGGAAAGGAATCAGAGTTCTTAAACGTGACGAGAGTAAATAGCGAGTAAAAGCGGCGCGCTGCGACCGACCAAACTGAAACGTAGGAATATATCGAAATACAAGATTCACTCTCTCCAGTGCTCTCTGATCTTCTCTCGCGTCTGCTGTCGTCGCGTTTTTCAACTTGAAAAATATCACTCTCGATGCTACCTGTGTGTGTGTGTGTGTGTGTGTGTGTGTCTCGGTCTCGGTTGTGTTGCGACTTGCGGCGAGTTTCGTCAATCTATATCCGATGTCGCGCGACGTATTCAAGGTGCCACACATACGTTGTTTACGATTTAGCGAAGGTCAGCGGGTGTCTCGGTACGCGTACGCACGATATACCGGTACCTGTGTCGCCGGTCACGTAAGCATGCCGTAACACACCCGGGGGTATCAGTGTCAAACAAGTCCTAAATCCTGCGATATCAACATCGCTCTGCCGAATATGTTGGCCGACTGAGCGCGAGCGACTACGCCGCGCGTACGGAAATCTGTCCCGGAGAAGCACGCGAGAGAAAACGTGAGAAGCACAGAGAGATGAAAAAAAAAACAAAAGAAAAAGGACAGCGAACACCACCGGCGTCGCGTTTGGGGGATCTCGAGTTTCAGAGATTCTCGTTTCGCGAGAGAGAACTGGCCGCTCTCACGTACCTGGTGGTGCTCTTGAAGAAATTGTTGCTCTCGCGGTTCATCAGCTCGCTGCGGAACCGCGACATCTCGTCCTCCATCTTTCTCATCTCGGCGTCGAAGCGCTCGCGTATGTTGGAAAACTCGGTGTCGATCACGCTGAAGTCACCGAGCTTGATCGGAATGTTGCGCTTGATACCACTGTCGGCCATGTTTCCGCCCGCGTGTGTGCACTCGAGTGTGTGTACGAATCTCTCTCTCTCTCTCTCTCTCTCTCTCCTCTCCTCTCTCTCTCTCTCTCTCTCTTTCTTTCCTCCCTTGTCACTCAACCACTCAACGAGGTGTACCCGCGTCTCTTCGTCGTACACGATTCGATCGCGAATGATAACTTCGGTATTGAACGCTACGCACGTGCTTCGCTCCGAGTCTCGCCTAAGGAATGAACGCCGCTTGCCGGCTGCCGTTTAAATAGCTACCGACGCCGGCGGAGCCGCTCGTGGGAGTTCGGCCGCGCTCGGCGAACTTCGTGGGCCGCGCACGCGGTCGTCGCGGAGCGGAGCGACCGTCGCGAGGTTTGACACACGTTCCCCGGACGAACGACGACGGCGACCCGACGACGGCTAAGACGCGCGTCGATCGCCGAAAGCGGCAATGTCGTTAGCGAGAAATTAATAGGCGGGCGAAATGAGGAAAACTGTGGTGTCGCATAGAGGTGAAAAAGGGACGAGAAAAGAGAGAGAGAAAGATAAGCGCGTCGCGTCCACTTCGCCATTTACGGGCGCCGCTACGTCGGCGGGAATTTGCCGTAATTCCATTTCCCTCATTCGATGAGAGGGAAACGCGCAAATTCTTAGCGCACTCGAGACTGAGACTGCTCGAGCTGAGAATTATGTTATAACGACTAATAATCGAGCCGCGTTAAGCAAGAAACTGTTGGCTCGAGTATCCCGCGTAAGCCGAACTGTTCGTATTAGAATTCGGAAAGACCGAGACGCTCGTCCTATTGTCGCGAAGATTTTTCTCAGGGTGAAAATGCATCGGTTTTCTAGAACGTTCCGCTCGCAATCTATTTTCGTGCAAGTAACGCATCGCGCGAAAATGGGAACTGTCTCTTAGAATTTGTTCATATAAAGATTGCGCGTGGGCGAAACGCGCTGTCGGAACGTCACACAAAACGAATCATCGTTGCCGGCGCGCGCGAGAGGGAGAGAGAGAGAGAGAGAGAGAGAGAGAGAGAGAGAGAGAGAGAGAGAGAGAGAGAAAGAGCGAACATGACTAATAAACTCGCGCGATCGTTTCCTTATGTACGACCCCCGCGAAGGAGCAATCTCGTAAATTCCAATGCGCGCGCGATCCTCGACCGCAATTATTCGCAATCGCGCGTTTGAAAGGAAAGACGAAAATAGCATGTTCGATGGCACGTGGGGAAAAATGTAGTCGTCGGCGGCACACACAAGCTCGCGCGAGTCGATTGTCGTATTTCAGGATTAAGAAGCTGGTTTTGTGCAGCATAGCTCTCCCATAATTCTTTTTTTCTCGGAGAAAACTCGCACGACGCTCTTTCAAGGCGGATTACGCATTGTGTTGCGCGTCGCGCTCGCGTTCGGCCGCGAATAAAAGGGTCCGAGATGACGTAAGACCTTTAACGAGTTACAATGACGGGTAATACGATTTTTACGGTACTGATTGATTAATTAGGCTCGTACGTCGATTGAAAGGTCTCGTGGAAGTCAATAACGCGCTCAACGGAAGATCGAGAGGCAGACGGGAGACGATCTCTCTGTCCCCTCAAAAGGACTTTAATTAACGTTAAATGGAATTTAGAGGAACTTTTTTGCGAGGGCCGACGTTGTGAGAATCTTCATCGTGCGGGAATGAAGATCATCGGCTCGTGTCACTGACTTTCTGTTATCTGGCGAGCAGACGGCGATTCGGTAGAAGCAGAAAAATACCCGTGGGAGATCTCTAATCGGCCGATTATTCTCGATCATTTCGACTTTTTCTTTTTGAGCAATCGAAGCTTTTAATTTTTTAACGAACGTTAAAAGCTAGCAGTTTTCGTCTGGTCCTTATCTGGTTAAATTGAGATCTCGTTGCATGAAGTCAAAGCGACTTCACCAACGGATCGGACGCGCCGTGGTCGTCAAGTACGACATCCGTCTTCAGTTGAGCAACATTGTTCCGCAATTTTTCTGTCGGACGAATGAGACTCGCGATCAATTACGAGAGCCGCGATCACGCGAGCCAATTATATCTCGTAATGTCAACAGACGTGCGAGAACGTGATCGTCGGTTCCTCCGTTGCGTCCGTGAAAAATTGGCAGTAGCCTCGGGACGTGTCGGGAGCACGTTAAAAGAATGTTTACGTCGTCACGCGACAGAGAGGAAGAGGCAGTGCGAGAAAGAGAACTCTTTTACGGTATCGAGAACGAGAGTGGCGAGAATGACGTCGACGCTATTTCGACGCTTCGCGTCGTCACGAGAGGCGCTCGGCTGAATGGAGCGACACGTCACAACGCCTCCTTGTCCCTCGCACGCGTGTAGTCCTGACACTCGCCTCTCCACGGAGGATACGCCACGTGAATCACGTGCGAGCACCGGCGAAAAGTCTCATCACGTCGAGCTCGAGTGAATCGAACGACAGATGCGTTCGATAGTCCTAAACCTGGCCCTGGCTGGAAGGAAATGAACTCGAGATCGTGCTAGAGAGAGAGAGAGAGAGAGAGAGAGAGAGAGAGAGAGAGAGAGAAAGAGAGAGGGAGAGAGAGAAAGAGAGAAAGCGGAAGCACATCCTGCAACGTGCGCCGTTACGTTATAAAATGCCTGGAAAAGAATGAAACACGTGTCTCTTTTGAGCGACGAGATCGTCCAGACTGCCGTCAAAGTGTGTCAATGTCGAAGCATTCGGTCGACGCGCGACGAGATTCAGTACAAAATACTCAACTTCCTCCCTCTCTCTCTCTCACTCGTCTCCGAGACGTCCAAACTCCACGGCAGCCGACGTCTACCGTGCGGAGGCATGTGACGGGCGCGTGACGTCATCCTCGTGGGGGTTTCGCGACGAGATCGATAAAAAGCGTCCACAACGGTTCCTAATATGGATCGAAGATAGCGTTCGCCGTGCATAATTGCTTTTAGATCGACCGTTCCCATACTCGTGCAGGAATCCGATCCCGCTGTCTCGTCCCGTTCGGATATATCTCTTTGCGGAAATTTTCGCGAAATCTCTCATTCTCTTTCGCAGCATCGCGACGTTGATGTGATTTTTTGTTAGCGAAAAGAAGGATGACAGTTCTCATATCGTATCACGTTCCTTATCTACGTGCGATGCGACGTCAGTCAATGACATCGCGGCGCGTTAACCTCAAGCTCGCATTTGCTCGCGATGCGAGCTTGTTACGCGGTCAACGACGATCTTCAGGTCTGTTTGACATTAATCGTTCATCATTGCCATGCACACTGGAAAGCAAAACAGTTTCGACAGTTTTTTTTTTTCTAGTGACATGGATAATCCGTGTAGTTGTGAATTTGAGAATCACTCGCGCAAGAGAGAGAGAGAGAGAGAGAGAGACCTGTGATTTTTTATTTTGTGCAGTTTGGTTAAGCAGTGATACTCAAAGTCACAACTACACGGATTACCCATGTCACTAGAAAAAAAAAAAAAACTGTCGAAACTGTTTTGCTTTCCAGTGTGCGTGGAAATGGTGAACGATTACTGTCGAACAGACCTGAAGATCGTCGTTGATCGCGTAACAAGCTCGCATCGCGAGCGAATGCGAATGGGGCTTGAGGTTAACGCGTCGCGATGTCATTGACTGACGTCACATCGCACGTGGATAAGGAACGCGATACGATATGAGAACCGTCATCTTTCTTTTTGCTAATAAAAAATCACATCAATGTCGCGATGCTGCGAAAGAGAATGAGAGGTTTCGCGAAATTTCCGCAAAGTCCAATTTCCAGTGTACTCAAAGCGGGCTTGGAGAGCAACGTGTTACTTGTAACGTCTGTAATTGTTACCTGGAAAATGTAGAACGCATGTATCAGGTGTTCCGGTTAATTTGCAAAAGAAACACGTTTATCTTTGAGAGACGTTAAATTATATTTCATTCAAAATATTTTCCATCGCTAGCTATAACTTTTTCCCACTTTTCGGCCAACGAATGAATTCCGCGATAAAAGAAGTGTTCGTCCTTCGAAGCGATCCACTCATCGAGCCGTTTTTGTATTTCTTCATATGATTTCAAGTGCTGGTCATCAAGACTATGCTGCATAGATCGAAATAAGTGGTAATCAGACGGAGCACAATCTGGTGAATACGCGACGTGTGGTAGGACCTCTCATTGAAGTGTCGATAATGTATCCTTCATTGTTTTTGCAACATGCGATCGAGCATTGTCGTGCAACAAAATTACTTTGCGTTTTCTTTAAGCTATTACTGGACGTTTATGGTTTAAAGCATCATTCAAATCGATTAATCGTTGTTGATAACGCACAGCAGTGGCTGTTTGATTCGGTTGTGACAACTCATAAAACACGACGCCTTTTATGTTCCAGCAAATGCACAATAAAACCTTACTTCCGTGGATGTTGCGTTTTGGAGTCGATGTCGATGGTTGGTCTGGACTTATCCACGTTTTTTTACGCTTAGGATTATCATAGTAAATCCATTTCCATTTTTCATCTCCAGTTATAATTTGATACAAGAATTGCTTCTTTTTGTGACGAGAAAGCAATGAAGTGCAAATGGTTAAACGATTTTGAATGGCCACTTCAGACAATGCATATGGAACTCATTTGCCTTGTTTTTGAATCTTCCGCATTGCGTGTAAACGATTTGAAACGGTTGATTTGAACCAACGTTTAACGCTTCAGCTGTAGTTCTTGAAGTGTTTGAGCTGAGTTTTCACCCAATAATGCCTGCAATTCGGCATCTTCAAACTTTTTTGATTGACCTGGACGTTCTTTGTCTTTCAAGTCAAAATCACCACGCGGAAATCATCACCGATTACCAGTACTCGCATGTTTTGCAACCGATGGAGAAAAGTCAGAATAAGTTTCTGAGATGAATCGGTGGGCTTCAGCAGCCGTTTTCTTCGAATCGAAACAATAAAGCAATAAATGTCGAAAATGCTCTTTATCACGTTTCATTTTCAATCGCGCAAAAAGTGTGGTTATGTTCACGAATGCCATGTGTCAAATTATTTGTAGAAATGTCCAAGCTTTAAAATGGTGTACCGACTTTCAAAATAGTCTCTAGTAGATTTCTAGCTATAGCTATCTATATTAGACCCTGAAAACTAACCGGAACACCTAATAAGAGAAAGGAGAAAAATGGAGAGGCCGGGAAGAGTAACGGAAATTGTAACGATAACAGCGACAGGTTATTTCTCGAAACAAACAACGGTAAAACGCGGTAATTTTGAAAAGTAACCTCCGTAGGTAAGCCTGAATCAAAGCGACCTCCGCGTCATCACGTCCGATAAGAAGGCGAAGCTGTAGGACGAGCTACAGCTGCTGCAAGGAGGTTCCTCCTGGGGAAAGAGTTTGCGCAACGACGGATATTATTGATCAAGGATCTCCAATGGAGAAAAACGAGAACCGCAGAGTGTCGAGAGCGTCACGCAAGCGTATGCATGCGCTCCTCCTTGCGGTTCTCCTTTTTCTCGATTATCTCATACGATTTCGCAACGGCGCGAGGACGGAAGCCCTCGTCCGAGCCTGTCGACGTATCCTCGACATTGAATTGCCCGAGTCGAGTACGAAAGCGAACGACAGCCGAAAGAAATTAAACGGCCGGAGGATTCCTCCCGACGAGTCTGGCTTCGGATACCTATGCCCGTCTCGGATTTTGTCAGCTAATAATAGCCGCGCGTAGCGCATGCCGAAGAGCTACTATCTTTTCGGCGACGTGAGTTTGCTTGTTTTCCTCGACACATACCGGGCTATGAATAATTGTCCAATCTCTTATAAATGCAGCCCGGTGGTCTCGCGGTGCGTTCAATTTAGCTGGCGACGGCCGCGACGCGGGAGACTGATATAATCCACCGAAATATTAACGTCCCCCGTCGCGAACAGCAGGAGGAAAAGAAGGTCCCCGCGGAAGATGGACCTATCGAGGGCAACCGAACGAGACGGACATTTACCAATAACTATATTTATCGCATTTATTTTATATATACGTATATATGAAGAGTTCTCTTCTGACTCTGCAGAATCTGCAGAAAAGTGTATCGCCACGTGCGTCACAAGCGTCCAATTCGACAGGATAGAATTGTTCGTTCGTTCGTTCGTTCGTTCGTTCGCTCGGCTCTCTCTTTGGTCAACCTGGATTTTTGCGGAGACGCGACGGGGAGGCTCCACGGAGCCGCACACGCACTCGTGTCCTTAACGAGATTCATCGTTGGATGACACACCGTGCGTACTGATCGCGTAGCATTCAGCTGTCGATCTAGCGCGAATCCCTCAGCGGCCTACGCCACATAAATCAATGCCGACGATCGACGAATGTCGATTCACTGCCGCGAATAGATTCGTACGTAACGCGATGACAGGTGGCCGTGAATAAATAATTGATTGTGTAATCACTACCCTTTCATAGGATTCCGAAGCCGCATCCTGCGCAGCCGCTCATTCCTGCGCACGAGCGTGGTATAATTTTCGTTGCGGTTTCAAATCGCGTGCATGCTGCGTCGACAGACACAGAGACATTAATGACTGGAAATTGCGTGATGTATTGGACGAGCGAGTATACGCTCATTCGTTTCGTTAGGATCAATAAGGCTTGAATGAATATTATAGAAAATTTAGGTTAATGTAAGGATTGCACGAATATGTACTTATTTGCTTATTTGCGTGCGAAATATCAATCGAAATATCAATCCTTTTGTTGTTGGATACAGATTTGAATTTCCTACTTCTACCGCGCACTCGCTCTTTTCATCGCACACCATTACCGGTGCAGCGCGGTGGTACCAAGGTGTTTTATACTTTGTGTAGATGGCAGCAGAAAACGGCAAGAAATGAGTAAGCGATTGCTGAGGGATGGAGACGCTTTGTTATTGTCAGTTATTGTTGTTTGTAGTTGCACGTGGTTGCTCGTTACCATGAAGGGCGATAAGAAGAATGTTGGAAACAAGAATCGCCAGAAAAAGGAAGACGACGAAAAGGAGCAACGCGAGAAGACGTTCGATAAAAAGAAATATAGATTAAAAAAGTACAGCAACAAATATAAAAGTGAGTCTGCTAGTTATATGATTTAGGTTAGTTTAGATCGATCGTTTACTCAATATTAGCTCTTTCGCACTAGTTAATCAGTGGGAAGAAAGGAGAAAGAAGACCGTATTGCGTGACTTTCATAAGGAACTCAAGAGAGATCAGCAAAATTCCACGCAAGCGTCAATAAATTCAAATAACACATCAAAGGATGCACAAGAAACAAGGTGAATGCAAGCTAATAAGTATAAAGGATCAATGCAAGCTAATTTTTTGTGATCAAGTTTAGTTTCTCTTATGTGTATCTTGAATTTACTGTATTTTAAATATATCCTTTTATTTTATCTTTATATTTATATTTCTATTAAATATATTTATATTTTGAAATCAGTAACTCGAAGAAAGCCTACGCCTTTCACAAGGCTAAACAAAAGTATCAGGAAACAAAAAAAGAGAAGGAGAGAAAAAAGCAGGAAACCGTTCGTATAAAATCAGAACGAGAAGAAGCTTTAAAAAGATATAAAGAAAAAAAGATGCAAACTTTCAAGGTACTATCAAAGAAAACCAAGAAAGGACAACCTATCATGAAGGGAAGGATAGAGATGCTGCTGGAAAAGATCCAGCAAAGTGTAACGTAATCAATAGTTCCTTGGAAGATAATAATTTGTTTCTTTGTGTTTTGTTAAAATATGTATAAAATGGAAATTTGTGACAAGTGAAAGATAAATACATATTGTGCGTTGTGATATACCATAATATCATAAGCGTTTAGAAAAATGATGAAACACACTTTTGTAACAACTATATATGAATATATATAGGATATTCAAATGCTCCCATAGTTTCCTAGAATCTTGCTAAAAATATCTGAGTCAAAAATGATCTCAGACTTTTTGTAGTACATATTTCATCTTAGAATATCCTTAGAGTATCAACGTAGGTCTTGATAATATCAGATAGAATAATGTATTTGTTTGCCGCTAACTTAAAGCTTAATAATAAAGTTAATTTTTATGAAATGTGGTTCTTATCTGGATGTAAGACTGCTAATCGGAGAAGTCAACATGTTGCTCGTTGCAAGGCTATTGTAAAGCATTTTCTGCCCTTTACATCTAATATTGATTAACAATTGCTGTTTTACTATGTTTTGCGAACGGAACACACTACTCGACAGATACAAGTCGCGAACGTATTACATCGCGGTCTCCGCCGATGACTCGTTTCGCGATATTCGGTGGATCATCTATTTAACGACGACCCATTACGACAAACGCACGATGATAATTTTCGGCGATACTTGGTATGCGAGATGTATTACTTATCAAAAGGAGATGCGTCTGATTCGTCGAGAGCAACGGAAACGCAGTGTCGAAATATTTTGAGTATCTTAAGGGGCTGCGTATACTCTGGCCTTAAAAAAAAGGCTATATTTTACAATTTTTTTCTCGTAAAAGTCCTTTTAACTTGCTGTTTTTTTTTTTATTAAAAAATATCAACATTGTAGATTATTTTCAAATTTTTTATGCTTTATAATCTTATAAATCTTATAAACCTCAAGGACGTCGGTTCAGCAATTTTTGAAAAATCCTTGATTTTCCCCAATTTTTCAATTTTCAAAACACGGTTTTGAGAAAAATGCGTCTAAAGTTTTAAGTAAGGTTTAAAGTGAGTAAACGACAAAATTATTTATTTTAAACGAATTCATCGATTCCTGGCCCATAAAGCAAACTCTCAGTATCCAGAAACTTATCAGCAGCCGTTTTATTTAGTTTTTGCTCTAGTCGAGCCGTTTTTGTAGACACACGCACGTGCAATGCACTAGCTGCCACAAGAAAGTACGTGTTGCGCGCTTACACAAAAACGGTTATATCTCAGTCATTTCCATATATTTTTAACTGAAACTTTAGGGAAATATTCTACAAACATCAAAAATTCAAAAAAATGTAAAAATTTAAAAATCGATATTTTTGACTCCCCAGAGTGTATGTAGCCCCTTAATCATTGCAAATTCAGCCTTCGCCGGGTCGTAAACGCAAAGACCGGCGATTTGAATTTCAAGCTGCCATTGCGGGATACGCACCATGGTTAGCTCAGCACTCCCAACGGGCCGTTTCGTGAGATATTCATATTCGGTGGCTATCACGACGATGCCCGTCGCGATTTACGCACGAAATTCACTTTCGGCACTCCTGGTGAGGCAAAAATCGCGCGCGAGACTCGCTTTAAGCGAGCCAAAATGCGGAACGACCTTTCCGAATCGCCGCGCCGTTAACCGTTCCGTAACTAACTGAATTGCAACGATTCAGATACTCGAAATATCTCGATACTGTGTTTCCGTTGCTCTCGACGAATCAGACGCGTCCTTTTTTGCTAAGTAGTACGTCTCAACGTCGAGTGAGTTGTCTTTTTTATTTTCAAACAATATGGCTCAGTGGTAAATCAGAAGGATTTGTGTGTTCGTTTAAATATACATTTTACAGATATAATTGGTTTATTCAATTCACATATCTTAGTATGAAAAGACAGCAATGTTCTTATAATATCAGAGAGTAACCTGAGAGCGGCCAATACGACATTTTCTGCGACACCGACTTTCCGCACTGGGAAAGGACGCCATCTGCATCCATTTTGAGAGGGGAACTACGATAGCACACCCACTTTCAGGTCTCGGTGGTAAAATCTGCATATGGTGGAAGTCCGTGCTACATCCACTTTCAGGCGGTTTATGTCCGTGCTACAACCATAATAGCGTACTTAGTACGCTGAAAGTGGATGTAGCACGGACAGCCACCAGATACAGGTTTTACCGTCGAGACCTAAAAGTGGATGTAGCATCGTAGTTCCCCTCTCAAAATGGATGCAGATAGCGCCCATTCCCAGTGCGAAAAATCGGTGTCGCCGAAAACGCCGTGTTGGTCGCTCTCAGCTTTCTCTCTGATAATACTTGAAAACCAATATTATCTCGTCGGTGACTGCGTGTAGCTCCGAATTAAATTGATCTATCAACGACTGCTTTCACCCGCACCTCGTACACTTGGTGTAGATAAATAGTTCCACTACGGAAAGAAATGGTCGACTCAGCTTCCCGAGTATCCCGCTTGTGGCGCTGTTCGCAGTTGCATCAGTATTTAGTTATGGCGCTGATTACGAGTTGTGTAGTGTGTGAAAAACCGTCGCCCGTGATTTCTCATGATTTTGACTCGCCGTAGCTGAATCTCGTGCCTTAAATCGTTACCGGGAGTGCCGAAAGTAAGTTTCGCGCGTGTGTTATGGCGGAATGACATTTGTTCCGTTGCGTGAAGTGAATTGAGATGAATCGTCGGAATACGCCGAGGAAATTTCAACACGCCAGCTGCGTAAAGGCAGCTCGGTTTTCGCGCTGCGGAGCTTCGTTTTTGACTCGTCAGCCGAGTCTCGGCCGCGAATTATCGTTAAACATCGAGGTATGGAACAGCTTTCGTTAAATATTCGCTGAAAATGTGCATTGTTCGTCGGGAGGGTCGAGTAAAGTTTCGGGAATTTTTCTGTCATGGCCGACTTCTTGGAATATTTCAAACGGAACGGACGGTTTCGAACAGAATATTTTGATTGGTTATTACGCTAGTGATACATATTCACCGACATACGCACACATTGAAAATCACGACCTTTGCATTGCAATGTTTAGTACGTGAATTCCAAAAGCCGACCGTGCGTATTTTCCGCGATTTTGAATCACCAAAGGCGGATATCGGCGTGTATTGTTTCGTCGAGAGTACCGGAAGCAAATTTCGTGCATTTGTCATGGAGAAGTATCGTCAAGTAGTCGAAAGTAAATAATTAACGAAACCGTAAATAATTATAACAGTAATAACAGTAAATAATTAACGAATCGTCGAGAGTGCCGAATGAAATTACGCGTTACATTTGTTATTTAAGATTTGTGTTGTGATCAAGTGTTGTGAAAAAAATGGTCTGTTACTGTGCAAAGTTAAATTTAATGTTTGTATTGTGAAAAATATTAAGTGCCCAAGGATATATTTTGCAAGGAGGGACATCAGGAACCATCGAGGGGTAAGTTTATTTTATGTATTGTATGTATTATGTATGTATATCAATACATAACACTATAAGAATTCGGAGTTGCTTGTCTCGCGATATTGCATTTTTTATTTTGCGGTGAAAAAATTATCCAATGAAAAAATTGATGAGGCTGTTCATGGCTGTGAAGCGAAACATAAAAGTCTCATCTAAATATTTTGAAACAATACATTTAATGTTTATTGATATTTTCATTCTCAACAGTTCATCACATTTTACATCTTAATCGCATTTTATTAACCCATTTTGAATGAGCAAACGAAATATTACGTTTCACTCGAAAGCATCAGTTTTTCAACGAGTCCGCTCGCAGGTCCCTACGACTCTTAAATTTCACTGCTCGTATGAATGCCTCGTCGATTTCTGGAACTCACGCCGCCGCGCGCTTACCCAGACGACGTGTCGTAGCGAACCAAAATATTTACTTCCCTAAATTTTTACTTACTTTCTACGTTATCCGAAAAGCTATATTAATCTGGATTTTAGAAAAATTAGTCATATTGAAAATTAAATAACATCACTTCTTTCGATTAGCATAAATATTTCCATGACGTATATATTATATTGATTTATCGTTTTTCTCTAAATTAATTTCAACATTTCGGACTTCATAATTCAGTAATGTTGGGCTGATTTGGTATCTACGGATCATCGTCATTTCCAATTTAGATTAGCTTCTTATTGCACACGATTTATTAATTTATATTTCGTAACTCATCATTTTCGCATCGATTAATCTAGACATATCGGCTTTAAATTCTCCATAACGCATGTAGGCGCACGTTGTTGTAATTTGTAAGAATCTTAGTTATTTTGGACCTAGATTAAAACCTTATCACTCATTTCGTTAATTAATATTTTGTAACCTGTCATTTCTGAACCTGTCACTTTTCAATATTTCGTGGCCTCTAACTCGGAAACGCGTAATCGCAGCTTGATGCGGTTTACGAGGATCATAGTTATTTTGGATCTAGATTAAAATCTTATCACCCATATTTCGATAATTAATATTTCGTGACAGGTCACTTCCGAGACTGTCACATGTTTCCATCTTTCGTGGTTTGTAACTCCGAAACGCGTAATTGCATTTCGACACGGTTGGCTTGGATCATTCTTATTTTGAACCTAGATTAATATCTTATCGCAAATAATTTTGCAGCTTATACCCGGTGACTCGTCATTTTCGCATCAGTCGATCTCGATCTATCGGTTCCAATTTCTTGATAACGTGTAAGCGCACGTCATTGCAATTTATGAGGATCTTAGTTATTTTGGGTCTAGATTAAAACCTTATCATCCACATTTCGATAATTAATATTTCATGACAGGTCATTTCGGAGCTTGTCACTTTTCCATCTTTCATGGCCTCTAACTCCGAAACGCGTAAGCGCAGCTCGATGCGATTCACGAGGATCTTAATTATTTTAGGCATAGATTAAAACCTTATCACTCATATTTTGTTAGTTAATATTTCATGACAAGTCATTTCGGAGCCTCTTATTTTTCTATCTTTCGTGGCTTCTAACTCCGAAAGGTGTGATCGCAGCTCGATGCGGTTCACGAGGATCTTAGTTATTTTGGACATAGATTAAAACCTTATCACCCATATTTCGGTAATTAATATTCGATGACTCGTCATTTCTGGGCCTGTCACTTTTCTATTTTTCGTGACTTCTAACTTCAAAACGTGCGATCGCAACTCGATGCGATTTGCTTGGATCATCCTTATTTCGAATCTAGATTAACGTCTTATCACAAATAATTAACTTATAGTCGGTGACCCTCCATTTTCGCATTGATTTCGGAAAAAAGTGAAAAAAATTGAATAAAAAAATGAAAAATTGAATATAAAAATTATAAAAATGGTCATCCCTGTTAGCGTCATTTTGTGTCATTGCTAGAAGTTTTCCGCGCGGTCTCAAAATATGTCTTCTTGAATTGCGAGCAGTGCGTTGCGTAAAAAATGAGAGGACGAAGAGGCAAGACGTGAGAGATTTTAGCTTAGCGATAAAATTTGCCGCTGACTCGCCTCGTGGCTTTCCTGCCGCGCGTATATTCATCGGTGGTGCGACAAAGATGGAAAGCGATTGATCGTCTGTGCTTGTCTAACTTATCTCTTGTAAGGGGAAGTAGAATGAGCAAGAACCGTGCATGCTTTGCCGTTATCGTCAGGACGGATGTAATGTGCATACATTTTCTCAGGTGGCGCGTCGGAATTCGGCAGAAAAAGCGTCCCGGCGTAATCAGCCCGGTGGCCGCTCTCAGATTTCTCTCTGCTAAATACATCAATCAGAAGTTTCTTCAGATAGAAGATGCTTTTTTCATTTCGTTATCGTAACTATGTTAAAGATTGTTGAATTTCAAGTATTTTTCGGAATACTACTAATAACAAATAATAAATCTAACAACTGACTTAGCAAAAATTAACTAATGACTTGCTTAGCGCCATCTAGTGGCGTCTTGATGAACCTGTTGGGTAAGCAAATTCGATGATCAACTGTTATTATTCTGTATTTTTTTTTGCGATCCACCATCAATTTCAAGAAGGGAAAGATCATAGTACAATTTAACTATAAGTACAATAATCAGTAAGTCAGTTATATTAATTATCCGCTTCACTTTTTAGTTTTGATCGATTTTACATACGAAAAACATATTGGAAATACATGTTTACAATCGCAGTGCATCTGTTGTATTAAAATAATTAAGAACACATCATCCATACGGTACAGAAGTTGCAGTAACGTTTTTCCAACTTTGTATTCTGCATGGGCAAGGTCGAATTATAAATTCTCCACCCAGTCAGAACCATAACCATTGATTCGACGTTGATTTGATGTTGAAATGACCGATGAACTGTTGAATCAACGTTAATTCAACCTTCATCAATGTCAAATTAACGTTATGGTTCTGATTGGGCAGTTTACAAATATTTTAAGAGCATTATGTTGCTGCTGTTTCTCGCCAAGATGTATCAATTTGCATGAATAGTGTGACGATCGTTCAATAGGGAGTTTTTGCAATATTGTCTCTCAGATATGGTAAACGTTGATCGTGAATGTTATTGGTCGCGTACATAGCGACGTTATTTCTGAACGAATAACGTTCACGATTTACATTTACCGTATCTGAGAGACGTTATTGCAAAAACTTCCTGTCTAACTCTCTGTCTAACCGCAGTTGAGTCTTTCCATTAGAAATTTCCTTACATGAGAAATGCAATAGATGCATTTAGGGGACAGATTTTTCGCTTTCTAAAGAGGCCAATTTCTTCACTACTTGTACTGTCTATTGGATGTTTCATCTCGCTCCAGTATAATCGCAGTGCAACTAAACACATACACATACACACACACACACACACACACACACACACACACATATATATATATATAAAGCAATGCTTCCTGCGCAACGAAGATCCTCGACAAAGTAACGAGCACGATCAATTAGTCGTCAATTGATCGTCCTGCCGGTAATCTCCGACGTGGCAAAATCCGTTCGCAGGAGTAAAGCAATCACACGGCGCATTCACTTGCCGGATTGCCGCGGCAGGAGGCTTCCACGCGACGGATCAATCGTTTCGGAGCCGCATCGCCGCCGCGAGTTTCACGTCGACGACGAGGGACGACGCGAGCGAGAGAGCTTCGAATTACGAAAATGCACGCGCCAGCGCGTATCACGCGTGCGCGCTGGCATTTGACGTGCGGCCGTCGTCCGTCAGAGCTAGTCGACGGTTGCAAATGGCGACAGCCACGAAGTCTCTGGCACGGGCTCGTGAATAGTTCCACGCCTACCGTGCGCCCCGCGACCGAGCCGTGCGTGCAACGCAACCTCAGGTCAGATCGGTACGTACCAGCAGCGAATTCGGCGAGCTGCCTCGCGAGCGGACGGGTACGCGCGCCGTGAAATTTACGCGACGCGACCTTCTCCGTCTCTGTCTGTCTGTCTGTCTCTCTCTCTCTCTCTCTATATATATATATATATATCTTCGTTTCTTTCTCTTTCTCTCTCTCTCTCTCTCTTTCCCTCTCGCGCGCGCGCCAGACAGCTCGCCCCTCGAGGAGACGGAGGAAAACGCGCTTGTTCGACTGGTCGTCGCCCGGAAGCCGTCCGGTCGATCGATAAGTCACGATCGTCGTCGAGCGGCTTCTCCGTCGGCCGTCGATCTCGGCGGGACGATCGCGCACGGCGCCGGGGGAGCGTCGCGCTCCGGACGCGCTGTCAAAAATCCGATCATCGGTAGGCCGTGTTCGGCCACTGACTCGCATCTTCTCGTCGCATCTCGCCTTCCCTGGACGTCGTCGGTCACGTCTGAGGCACTTTCGTCCGACAGCCGAGCCGAGTCGAGCCGAGTTCGAATCCGGCGGCCGATCTTGTGTGCTCCCCGTACTGTATCGTAGGATGACATACTTTCTGACAGTGCGTCTGCGGTCGACGGAGGAAAGAAAGATGTGTACAAGTTGTTAGAGAGAGCGATACGTGCGCGAAGGAGCGCGATAAGAGCGGAGACGGGAGACCACGCGTCCGCTCGCGCTCGGTTGCGTCAGAGCCGCTCGACGGTGCGGCGAAACAAATACCAATTACAGTATATTCGCGTCCGCGAGCACGCACGTCTCTCTGTCGCGATTGGAGGGGAATGGACGTCGAGTGTGTTTTCATTCTTGGTTCTCGTCTTTGCAGGTAGCTTTAAACCAAACCAGGCAAAATGCCAGCCGTCCGAGGAGATGGCATGCGTGGATTGGCGGTCTTCATATCGGATATCAGGAACTGTAAGTATTCGCCGTCGCGGTATTTTGTGCCCTGAATGTGGCTGAGCGTGTGTGCGTGTGCGTGTAAAAATCACAGTAATATTTTATACTGCGCTGCGGATATTTTTCTCATATAAATGCATCACGCCTGTACTTCTGATTACGAGAGACGTTTCATTCATTGTGTGATACTATGCCATTGAAACTGTGGAGCGGTTTACGGAGCATTTAATGCTGAGAGAGGAGTGAGAGAAAGGGGGCGGTGTTCTGATATCGGCCTATCTCCCTGATAGAGCTGCTCCCAAATAGCAATCTGTTGACACATTGGCATCATTAACGGTGCCGTTAGATTTATTGGAAACAAGTGCAAGTGCTCAACACATTTGCGTATTGAGCGGGTTGATCAAATAGATTATATTTTACATTTATTCACACGGATTAATTGCGGCTGTCTTTACACCGCCTTGATTTTAATCTTTAATTTTAAACAACACATATCAAAGCAAGCTAGCCTTGATATTATGCCAGTTGGCATATTGCCATTATTTTATGCATCATATTCCTTGATTGATGTGTTATCACTATGTATAACATATTTACATGAAGATATATCTCATACAATTTTATACTATTATATTGGAGAAAATACCTGGCCTTATTCTTATGAAAGGAATCGTTTCATCATTTCACAATTTGACATAGCTTGGCTAAAGTGAGACTCTTGTATCGATAGGTAAAAGCAAAGAAGCTGAGATCAAGAGAATCAATAAGGAATTAGCGAATATTCGCAGTAAATTTAAAGGAGACAAAACACTCGACGGCTACCAGAAAAAGAAATATGTGTGCAAGCTGTTGTTCATTTTTCTTCTTGGCCACGACATCGATTTTGGACATATGGAGGCTGTCAATTTGCTGTCATCGAATAAATATTCAGAGAAACAAATTGTAAGTATCGCCGTGGGCATTTTCCACGGTGTGTTTTGCGCACCGCGCAGAATCAAATATCAAGCCGTCCCGTTGGTTTCAGGGTTACCTTTTCATATCGGTCTTAGTGAACACCAACAGCGATCTGATCAAGTTGATCATACAGAGTATAAAAAATGATCTCGCATCGCGCAACCCGATTCATGTGAACTTGGCGCTGCAGTGCATTGCTAATATCGGTAGCAAAGAGATGGCGGAGGCTTTCGGGAATGAAATTCCGAAACTACTCGTGTCAGGGTACGACATAGTATATCGATTTGTAGGCTACGGCCTTGCACGTTCGCATTACACTCGCAGCTCGCACGATTGGATTCTGATTTAATCCTCAAACGATATCTGTCGACCAGAGATACTATGGATGTTGTGAAGCAAAGCGCCGCATTATGCCTGTTGCGGCTGCTACGAACTGCCCCCGACGTCGTTCCTGGAGGCGAGTGGACGTCTCGCATAGTCCATCTGTTAAACGATCAGCATTTGGGCGTCGTCACGGCCGCGGCATCGCTCATAGATGCTCTCGTGAAGAGAAATCCCGAGGAATACAAAGGCTGCGTCAGCCTCGCAGTTTCGAGATTAAGTAGAGTACGTTATCATAAAGTAGTTGTCGATTGTATAGAGCAGTAAGAATTCTCTCTTCATGCTTCCTTCTCGCGATTGCAGATTGTCACGTCGAGTTATACAGATCTGCAGGATTACACATATTACTTCGTACCGGCTCCTTGGTTATCCGTCAAGTTGCTGCGTTTGTTGCAGAACTATACGCCTCCAGGTTATTTGATTTATATATATATATATATATAGTATATAAGTTGTATATCTCTGAGAAGATATGTCTCTATCTCGTAATGTATCTACGCGGGAGATATTTACGTTCGCATCTTCCTACAGCCGAAGACCCAGGTGTAAGGGGTAGACTGAACGAGTGTCTAGAGACCATACTGAACAAAGCTCAAGAGCCACCAAAGTCGAAGAAGGTGCAGCATTCGAACGCGAAGAATGCCGTGCTCTTCGAAGCCATTAGTTTAATTATCCACAACGATAGCGAGCCAAACCTCTTAGTGCGCGCGTGTAATCAACTCGGTCAGTTCTTGTCGAATCGCGAGACCAATTTGCGATATTTGGCACTCGAGTCTATGTGCCATTTGGCCACTTCGGAATTCTCACACGAAGCCGTGAAGAAGCATCAAGAGGTAGTCATATTGTCGATGAAGATGGAAAAGGATGTCTCAGTGCGACAGCAAGCGGTGGACCTGCTATACGCAATGTGTGATAAGAGCAACGCCGAAGAAATAGTCCAGGAGATGTTGAACTACTTGGAGACAGCTGACTACTCGATCAGAGAAGAGATGGTCCTCAAAGTGGCGATTCTAGCCGAGAAATATGCGACCGATTACACCTGGTATGTCGACGTCATCCTTAATCTAATCAGGATAGCAGGCGATTATGTGTCCGAAGAAGTCTGGTATCGAGTTATACAAATCGTCATTAACCGAGACGACGTTCAAGGTTACGCCGCTAAAACAGTCTTCGAGGTAATAACATGCCGCTTTTTTTCGCTGAAATCATCTAACTTTCCTTGCATTTATGCGCTTTGTGACATCTCAGGCCCTGCAAGCGCCCGCCTGTCATGAGAATATGGTCAAGGTCGGTGGCTATATACTCGGAGAATTTGGTAATCTCATCGCTGGCGATCAACGGTCTTCTCCAGCTGTTCAGTTTCAACTACTACATTCCAAAGTGAGTACATGTCCTCGTTGCCGTTCGCGAAGATTTGGTGTGGTGACAAACCTGTGTGAATGTAACGTAATAAATCTGCACATCTTTCGCAGTATCATCTGTGCTCCCCTATGACTCGAGCGTTGTTGCTTTCGACGTACATCAAGTTTGTGAATCTCTTCCCTGAAATTCGAAGTCAGATACAGGATGTCTTTAGGCAGCACAGTAACCTGCGCAGCGCGGATGCCGAACTGCAACAGAGAGCGTCAGAATACTTACAACTGAGCATCATTGCCTCGACCGATGTTCTGGTATTTGAAACGATTCGAAGTCTATACTTTCATCCATTGCACTTCCTCCTTTGCTACCTCGCACTGATTCCCTCTTTCTCCTTTTTTTCCACCAAGTCTCAATCGTATATGCTTGTTCCGCTTTAAGTTTTGAAAGTTTACGTTAGTTCTCTAGCAAGAAAGAACATTGGAGGAAATATGAAGAAAAGTGGCTTATATCCACAGCTGTGTGATATCAATGAACCTGTATTTACGCAGGCCACTGTGTTAGAAGAGATGCCGGCGTTCCCCGAGAGAGAATCCTCTATTCTCGCAGTCTTAAAGAAGAAGAAGCCAGGTCGAGTACCGGAGAACGAGATCAGGGAGAGCAAGAGTCCAGCGCCAAATGCCAATCACCACATTGAAGCTCCTGCCGCTACAGCAACCGCGACTGTCAACAACACTTCCGCCGATCTGCTAGGATTGTCAACTCCACCCTCCTCCCAGCCAACTAGCAATACAGGTGTATTGCTTGATGTTTTGGGAGACATTTACAACATGCCAAACAAAGTTGGTGCTACCAATGGTGCCCAAAATACATATAATCCTAAAAAGTAAGATGTACCGCATAATGTACGAATAGAAAAATGTATTGACGCATGTATATCGATGTTTAAACGTAACATTGCAACGCTCTTCTCTTCTTTCCAGGTTCGTCTGTAAGAATAACGGTGTCTTGTTTGAGAATGACTTGATACAAATCGGCGTGAAGTCCGAGTTCAGACAAAATCTCGGACGAGTCGGTCTTTTCTATGGGAACAAAACGCAGTACGCATTACACAGTTTTCAGCCGCAGCTCTCTTGGACGGAAGAGAATCAGGCCAAGTTGGCGGTACAAGTGAAGCCGATCGATTCTGTATTGGAAGCTGGCGCACAGATCCAGCAAATGATCAATGCGGAATGTGTTGACGATTATAGCGGTATGTCGATGTTATTGTGTTGGTCATTTTCTCATGTCTAATGTTTATCTTGAACTTGTCACGTCAATCACATCTTACACGTGCCTTTGTTCTCTTGTCTGACAGATGCGCCGAGTATGCTTATTTCCTTCATTTACAATAATGTGCCACAGAAAATCACCATGAAGTTACCATTAACGATTAACAAGTTCTTCGAGCCGACGGAAATGAACGGGGAGTCATTCTTCGCAAGATGGAAAAACCTAGGCGGGTATGTGACACGAGTACAATGCGTTCACTAACAAAAGATGTGAGAGATCAAATCCATCGGTTCGAGGTGCCGTCGATTTTCTTTTTTTTTTCTTTAAGATTAAAGTCGATTGAAGGTTGAAATTTGCTTCCAGAGCGAATCAGCAACGCTCGCAAAAGATCTTCAAAGCGCAACAACCGATGGATCTAGCGCAAGTGCGTACGAAATTGCAAGGTTTTGGGATGCAATTACTCGACGGCATTGACCCGAATCCCGATAACTTTGTGTGCGCTGGAATTGTTCATATGAGAGCGCAACAAGTAGGCTGCCTGTTGCGTCTGGAACCTAATAAACAAGCGCAGGTAAGCTCTCTTGGGTCCTTGAATGTTCACAATGCGCGTGCAATCGTTCGTGGTGCAATCGTTCGACTACGAAGTTGTGATTTTTGCAGATGTTTCGCTTAACGGTGCGTTCAAGTAAAGAATCTATGTCGGTAGAAATCTGTGACCTGCTGGTGGATCAGTTCTAAGCGGCCTAGCAGGCGTGAATATCGACGAAAAATAAAATATCACGTCGTGAGAGGACACATTGTTACTGCAGGAGGGTGTCATCTCGCTCGTCGTTCAAAAAGATAACTGATGATTATTTGTTAAGAGATATTTGCGCGTTGTACCCAAGCTTACACTCACGACGCTCTTATGAGATCTATATCTCCGTGTAGGTAGTTCCGTGTCATCGTGTATCGGTCATTTGTCGAGAATGGCATAGAGGTTTGCGAGAATCAGGACCATCGAAATCGATCACACGCGGAAAGAACGAAGGACATAAAGTGGCTATGATAGACAGTATTATCGCATAATCGAGGGTAGTGAGGATGTGGGTTTATTTTAACGGATCCGCGCCTCGTATTGTATGTCTACGATATATACGCGGATGCAAGTGCGACGCTGAGAAAGAAAGAGGGAAAAGAAAAGAAAACTAGATACCTTAGCTGAGCATGTACGTATATTATAGAACCACTCGAGTCGCATCACAGAAACAAAGTATATATTTTTATTGAGTTTTACAATACACGAGTTTCCCTCTTTATCGTTACGATCGATGCAGCTCGTGATATCGGTAAGTTACTGTCAGGCCGTCGAGAGTGAAACATCTCTTTGTACGTGAACGCCTCTCATTGTTACATCTTTTCATAGCCTGTGTCGTGATTTTCGTTCAGTTTCGCTAATTGTATTAGCATCGATACTTCGCCATAAGATCGCCACGTGAGCGAGAGTAGATTTGGGCACAATGACAATAGTTGTATGATATTAGCTGTTTATCATAGATATACCCTTATACAGCCTGAGTCCAAAGTCTTGTCCCACAATATCTTCATGCTTGTTTGCACCTCGAAACCAACAGAAAAAGTTCCAATAAACATTGGTCCCAAGATTATTACTTTCTGAGAGACAACCTTATCTCTTGCTTAAATGTTACCTATTATTGTTTCATAGCTCCATAGTAAGTGCTATGCACGCACCGACTTACGGCCACTTGTACCAAGCTGCAGTTAAACCAACCGTTTCAGTAATCTTGCAAGACTCCAACCAAAAGTTACTGCTTTACTCCTCATTTTCTATTTTTTTCTCACAGCGACTTCAGTTGGAATCCTGCAAGGTTATTAAAGCGGTTAGTTTAACTGCAGCTTAGTGGCCTTTATTATATCAGTGATTATACGTTCAAACACTCCGGGCTGTTTTCTTATGACATAGCAGACATTTTGTACACGTGTTGCTGCATTTCTAGGATACTTTGTATTGAGTTGGGAAGAAAAAGAGTATATTATGATTATAATTGTATATTGCTATTAATAATATTATTAATTATTAATATTGATAATTATAACAGTCAATATAATTTATTGATAACTAATAATAATGTCATTTATTATTCATGTGATCCACGCTACAACTGATGAAGGTAGTTGTATTTATAAAAAGCGACAGCTTCGGGACCTATGTTTATTGTTGAGTTTGTTTGTTAGTTTGCTGATGTGGAATACGTCTGCAAATTTGTCGGCAGGATCTCGGACTCGCCCTGTGTATTTAACGGAGCTGCAAATTAATTATTATGTAATTAATAGTTTATATTTAATTGCTCCCCGTCACACGGACTTGAGTTTAAGAAGAATTTTCTAGATTTCTATATCGTCGATGTTAATGTATGAAAATCCATGGCTGGTCATTCCTACATGCGCGAAATGAAATTCCACGCGGAGTGTGTTGTAAACTCTCGATACATCGTTGATTGAAGTCTAAATGTTTACGAGTTAACGATTTGTAATTGTAGAGGTACGTTTTATCGTCTCCAAAATCTTACGTAAGATGTATATTTCAGTAGAGTATCCTGTACAGGCAGCATCGTGGTGAAATCACGATGCTGTTAAAACTTCGCGGAATGTGTTTTATAATAATAACGGATGGAAAGAGCAGCTCTAAGTATGATTTAAATGTCGCTTCACAACGATCGGCGACGCGTCGCCGATTTTTGTGAGGCCTCTCGTATAATTGTACATATGAAATCTGAATTAATTACAAATGGCTATAAACACTCTACGAGACACGCCGAGATTACACTACTCGTAGTCATACAAGCTCAAATTGTTTTCTTACTCGTCACTTATGCTTTATTATTCAGGGAACTAAGATGTATATTTTTCATATTCGTATAGTGTAAATCTATATGTCTAATGCCCCCTATTATATTTCCCCCTCCCCCCCCCTTCCCTTAGATTATGTGTATTGAAATTAGTCGTGTTTGAATTGTAGTACGGGTCGAGAGAACACGACGATATCGGTTTTTTTACTTCTCGATTTATTGTGCATATTAAGATTTTGTTATTATTTTTCTTCCCCTTTTTTAAGGTTATACTCTATTTTACGATACGAGACGAGAGATGCCAATCATTTGGATATTTTATCGTTAGATATACAAATGTAATCGTTGAATCATAAGCAATGTAAAGGAAAGTCTGGGCGTTTTATATTTTTATCCCCTTCGTTTTATATCGAACAGTTGAGATTTTAGAGGGACGGTCTTGTTATGAACGGTGTATGATATTTCTCTTGTTCCAAACTGTATATTTCGCGATGCGTTTTAATCAGGTCTTTTAACGGTAGCGCTTGCTTGCAATCTCGACGAGAGTTAAAAAAAATATAATCTGTGAATTGTCGTTAGAGCGTAATAATTAGCCGCCTGATATTTACAGTTACAGTTCTTTCATCGCTATATAAATATAAGTGTAATGCAATTTTTGGTACTCTACCGATGCAACGACAGGCTGTCGAGTCGTGTTTCTTCTTTCTCTTTCTCTTTTTTTTCGTAAGATATTACAGCGAGTATACCACCCCCTAATAATATATTATTAGATAACTCGCGATACTTGTCGATCTCCTTACTTTGCACGCGTTAGTCGACTTCGGTTAAATCCCACTGCGAATCTCATAGCGCGTGTAGATTAGTAGCGTTTTATCGAGATTTGTTCTTGCGAAGTTTGTGCAACCGAAAGGACGAAAACTGAACTGATTGACGTGCACCCTCGACCACTATGTTGACCGCCAGTCATGGATTTACAAGGAAGACTAACGTTCGGTGAAATTATGCTTTCCTCTTGTTAAAGACAACCAACGAGATTTATAATAACGATATTCCCTTCGTCCGCGTTCGTACGCGTGTTTATTACACCTACATATAATATATACGTATAAGAGATGAGAATCGTATTACGCTTAGATTCAAAAGGCTCGCGCACGGTCCGGCGATTTACGCAAGACAAGACTATCAAAAACTTGTTGATACTGCACGAATTTAGCCCGAATCATCACGTCACGTCGATCAAGCACGTTGGAATGCTTCGTGCGACTGCGAAACGTCGGGCCGTGCACGAGCCGCTTCACATTCGAATGAAAGTTATGTTTAATATATACGATATATTATATTATATACATAATATGTATACATAATATATATATATATTATATATTATAGTATATATAATATATAATTATTATATATTATATATTGTAATATATATTGTGCCTGTGTGTATATATATATATATATGTGTGTGTACATATATATACGCATGCACACACACACACACACACACACACACACACACACACACACACACACACACACAACACACACACACACACACACACACACACACACACACACATATATATAGATACTTTCATATATAAATACACGAATTATGTATTGAGAAATGTGTGGCGACACACAGTTGTTAGATTATTATTACCGCGACGATGCCCCGATCGATCGACGTTCGCGATCGAAGCGGTCGACGCGCCAGCGCGACTCGGCTATTCGAATGCGGCGAATGAATATCCGCAATTCGAGTAACTCGAATGGCACTGGCCGTGCGACTCGTTGTTACGCCTACTGTAGAATTTGCGATTATTTAGCGAGTTGAATACCCGCGGGACACTAATGAGAGAAGGAAGAATGAAAATCACTCCTCGTGTATGTATATGTGTGTATGTACGCCGTGTGAGTGCGCTTCGTTGCCGTTTTCTATTTGCGCCGTGTAGAGCCTAGTGTGCCTCTCGTACTGTAGAATCGCTCGAATCACTCGTGGACACTTCGACACTTCAGATATTTGAACGTGTTAGTTTTTAACCCCTTCGCCTACAATATCGTGTGAGAGACGTGATACGTCGATCGGGCCAAACGTAAACAACACGTGTCAGAGACGTGGTACACGTCGATCGGGCTACACGCGACAAACACTTAATAATTTCCTTGAAAAACGTAGCGAAACAACGTGGGAGTGCAAAAGATGTAAAGTTGCATTATATGTAGCAATATGTTTTGAAAGATACCATACGATTCAAGATTATTAAATTTTTGTAAATTTTATCAAGACGTTAATAATTTATAATGTGTTTATCTAGAAATTGAAATAAAAATGTTATTGATTTATTATTCACTTCAAGATAATAAATCTTTCTTGTTCAATGATCAATTGGTCGTAATTATTTATCAAACATCTTGCAAAATAAAATTAGTTGTACCTTACACATGTATTTACATATCAAAAGACGTGTGCGATTTGCACAACTTCGAACGCTCAGTCAAACCGCGAAATGGCTCGACGTATGACGTTGTTGTTGTTTATGGCATGCGCCATCGAAACTTAAATTGTAAGGCAAGGGGTTAAGAGTTACAGCTTCCGGTCGCAAGAGAAGGTCGAGAGAAGCTGCCTGTCGTCGCGCGCGACAGACGCTCCCCGCGCCAGCGTCCTTTTCGTTGCGGTCTAATCGTGTACAGATTTAATGTAGGACTTTGATAGGACCTCGATCGCGCGCGGCCTGAAGGACTCCCGTCTATCGAGAAACAACTCCCCAATCAACAGACAATATTCTTTTAACATTTTTCAAATATTTATTTTACATTTTTTTCACATTTCTTCCATTTGTTGCACAAAATTATTTATTTGACTTTTATTTAATGTATAGTTTACGTCAATTCTTCATTTAAAATGATGTTTTAAAAAAAATATTTATTTAACGTTTATTTAACACTTATTTTACATTCTTCATTTAAAATAATGATAAAGAGGAAATATTTAATATTTATTTAATGTTTATTTAATATTTATTTTTACATTAATAAAACTCGTTTAAAATTACACTTAACGTTTTAAAAATGTCTTCAATGTTTTGTTAATATTTTTGAAAAACATTAAAAAATTTTTTTCCGATCGGGTCGGCGTGCGTGAGCACACAAGATTGCCGTGCGAGACGGTGGCTTCGCCGAGCCGTCCTTCACTCGCGGTCGCGTATTATGGATATTGGGATGTACCGTAAAATATCCTGCTAGATTTCGATTCTTGTACCTCCCTCCTCTCCTCACCTGTGATTATAGATGCTCGTTGTATTTATTTGTCCGTGTATTCTATGTGAGTGTTGTCGCGTGTAAGATCTTCAACTTCAAATAACGCGGAACATCCCGGAGTCATTCTGGACGTGT